GGCAGTAGGGAGTTAATGAAACTACTTCCTGCTCTCATGTCTAGGTCATATAACTACTTGACTTTTTCAGACTGAACTAAGGCCAGCAAGACAGTTCTACAACTACACTGCAGGGATAATTTTAAAGGACTTATACTTAGAAAGATCTTTCTGTAACTGTTTTTAAAGACAGAGTACATCAGTGTTTGGAATGTCCAAACTTTTGTTCTTATCCATGGAATAATGAAGATGAGCAGCTGCTGGAAGATGCCTCAAGAAGCTAATCACACACCCCAAAACAAGGCCAGATGTATCTGCAGATTTTAACAGGTATTTGCCTGTTCTTCAAGCTGCACACAGCAGAAATTCCATCACCACCACAGATCACCTTTCCAGCAATCAACTGTTTTACCCTCAAAAATATTTTTCTAGTACTATCCCAAGTCTTCCTTGCTGCTACTTAAGCTCTATCTACTACTGACACAGAAACAAAATTACTCCTTTCCATGCTTACTTTTATGCTTCATATACTTTGTAGTTACAAGTTTTGTAAACATCTCAGTGTAATGTTGTATTGATGCACAAAAGGCAAACTCTCCAGCTTGCAGTGCAGCGGAACCCACGGATTTACTCTGAGGAATCCTGCTTTCCTTCAGTTATTTTGCTTGACTAGCATTGGTATTTTGTACACATTCCTAGGAAGAATAAACCAGTCTCATTTTTGGGGGGATAGTCTTTTTGATTTATTAAGACCACTATATATCCTAATTTTGCCCTCTGAACAGTCTCTCATTTTTATGATTTCTGCTAATTTAGTAAGTACTCCCTACTCAATCCAGGTGACTGGGTGTTGAACAAAACTACCCACAGGAAAGACTTCAAAGTTAAAATATACTTCCACTTTTATAAAAGGACATCCACTAATCAGTAAGCACTCTCTGAAAATGGTTTTCAAAGTACTTCAGCATTCATCTTATAGTTGTTTCAATTAAACTGAGTTTCGTAACATTCAAAAGAGTATCAAAAGCTACAGCCCAAACATCTGCTTTTCTTCTGTCCGTGGGGCCCATAACTCATGTATGGCTTTTTCTCCATATGACTTGTTCTTTAAAAATCCAAGTTGGCTACTCATCTTTTTTTTTTGCTATTTTCTTCCAGGTGCTTAAAATTCTTACCCTGCTCCCAACTGCCAGCTTTTTCTTCAGACTGAAGTCAAGCTTATTTTTTATCATCCCCCATCCCTCACACTCTCCGTCCACATTTAAAGACAGATGAGGTACTGGAAAGCTGACTATAGTGAACATATTACCTATCATCCAGGAGCTGTCAGGAATAGCTAAAAGTTTGAACTTGTTTCAGCCTGTTCTAAGGAACATAGAAAACGTTTAACTTTCATGATTCCCCCAGAATAACACAATCAGTCTGAGTCTTTTCCAAAATCTTCTTTTTTTTTTCCTGTTTCCAGCCAAGAGTACAATTTCCAACAACAACAAAGGGATACCAGTCCCCACCTCAACATTGATCTTCGTAATGAAAACTGATACAAAAGAAAGAATGAAATTACAAATGTCAGTCTTTTGTATGCATAAGGCAGCAGATGATACCATATTGATCTGATTTACTCACAGCTAAATACTATTTCTTGCATCCTGCAGGTAGAACTCTCTAAGAGCTTTGACATTTATAGAACCCATACGGGTTAGTTACATGATGAAGTGAAACTCCATCTTATACCCACACAACATTAGTAACTAAACCGATATCATTAAACAGGAGCTCAGCAAATTCAAGATACTAGATAATCAAAATGAAGAGCTTCACATCTATATCACTAATTAAAACGTGGTGCAAGTCAGACATGCTTGACTCCCATTACAGTGCCACAGCTGTTGCTCTAAAATGAGCTCATGGTCTCAGTCCAGTTCTTAGCTGATGGGTTTCCATGTCAAACAAAAAGGATATTATTTCTTACCAAAGAAACCAAATCACCTAGAAACTCTCATATTCCTAGTAGCTGCTTCCCATGAAACACTACCCTTTAAGAACAGTTCGATACAGTAGTTGGATTTTTTGCTGTCACTGAAAAGCAGATTTCTCCAACCATCACTATAGCTGAAAGGCCTCAATGCGACTGCAAAGCATTACAGAATGTTCTCCTGAGATTCTTAGAATTGTTCAATTCCATTCTTGTAATGGCTTCAAACAGGTTTAACCATGTTCTGGAAGAAGAATATTCCAAAGTAACTGCAAAGTTGAGAAGAGACAATTAGAAATTCTAAAAATAGGCCAGAGCTGCAACCATTTTGTGAGGAAAACTGAAGGGAAAAAAAGTCATCACATTCACAAACTTTCAATACCAATTACATTCTCATAGACATTGCTATGCTGTAGGAAGTTTCCATTGTACCAGCATTTCCACGCATATCAGGGAAATAAATGAGAATTTCTGTCTTCCCCATATCCACACTGGCCCCCTGCATTGGGAGCAGCAGAAGAAATTCAGGATTGCCTCAGTTTCTAAGGCTGTGACTTCTAAGATGCCCAATATCTAGTGCTTCCTAATTCATATATTAAGAACACATATTTAGGCATATAAAATACACAGTATATTACAGTAACCATAAAAAGCAGTATTTTGTGAATAAGTACCCAGCTTTGTAAGTAGTTAACTGAAGCACTTTCAGACTCCTAAGCAAAATTCCATTAAACACAATATATTTAGAATATTCTTATATAGAGACTATATAAGAAATTCTTATATAGAGAATATATAAGAAATTCTTATATAGAGAATATATAAGAAATTCTTATATAGAGAATATATAAGAAAGGCGTCAGTTTTATTTCAGGCATCAGTGTGGACTACTTCATACCAGTAAATAGACCTACCTATAAAAAACATTACAGGTTTTGCACATCTTTTTAAAAGTTGGTATTTGGACGTACAACACCACACTTACTTTTACCTGCAAGAGCATTTATCTGAATCTCCTCAAAATGGCTGAAATGTCCTCCTGCTTCCAAAAATTGTTTCAATGGCACAGATATTCCAGACATATCTCAATTCTCAGCGATGTCAGGATCGAAGTCAGCAGAACTGTCACCTTGGGCTTCTGGATGGTATTTTGTGGCATTTTGTCCTGTTTAGGAGCCTGGTTGACAGAGCTCCTTGGGAGGCAAAGAGGTGCAAGAAGGCTGTACATTCTTCCAAGAAGGAAATCTTGAAGGTGCAAGAGCAGGCTGTCCCCATATGCCACAGTTTAGTGGTGAACTTGGCAGTAGGAAGTTTACAGTTGGATTCAACGATCTTAAAGGTCTTTTCTCACCTAAATGATTCTATGATTCTATGTTACTGTTCCACAATGGGCAGGAATCTGGAAAAAGTACTGAGGGGAAAAAAAGGAAACCAGAATGTCTGGGGTTTTTTACCTAGAGGTATTTTTCAGCTTAACTCATGTTAAGTATAAGCTTACTTAGATGGTTAAGGGTTCATATATGTATATACTATTTTCAAAAGCTACACTGGTTATATATCTCTTCTTGACTATACTGACTAGGCATCATCACTCAGATTATACTGAAGCCTACAGAGAAGCAACAGATTATTTTCTCTAGCAAGACAGCCAGAAAATCAAGACCTCCACACTTCAGCCTGATGCTTTTTGTTGCATTTGGAAGTAGGTCAAACTTCTGGTTTTAATCATGGAAAGATGAGCTCTTATAAACTCTGCTTTACCTTTATCACACAGTGTTTCAGTCTTGCTTTTAATTTCCCACCACACAATCCAGTTCACCCTAGAAGATACGAGCACCAAATATAGATGGACACTGTCACTAGTTACAAGAACTTTTCTTTCATTCACTGAAATATTCCTAAACCCCCACAGCAGAGGCCACCTGCTGTCACCTATAAAGAATAGCAGGCATTTACAGAAAATACCAGCCTTTAACTGGAGATGGGACTCCTATAATGCACAACAGTACCTCTGCAGTTTATTTGACAGTGCTCAGCAAGAATTTTCTCTTGGGTAACAAAGAAACCTTCAACCCACATCCAAAATGAAACAATCTCCAGTTGTGCATTCTTACATCTTGAAACCCAGCATACACCTAATCTCTGGGTGGTCTGTCTTCTGCTCTGCATTCGTTTTCCCAGTTCTGTGTCATGCTTTGGCAGAGGATCATACCAGGTTCAGTTCATAGCCTGTGATCGAAGAAACATACGGGATTACTCAACCTTGTTTGCTGCAGACAGAATCATCACTTGAGTTTTACTCTCCCAAAGCACTCTTCTACCTTGCAATTATAAATCCACTTTATTTGTTCCAAGTTACATCACCTAGCATGCAATTATAATCAAATTCATTTCCTAGATATAGACATTCAACCATGCCCTTAAAACTACTGTTAAAGAGCATGCTTATTTAGAATCAGCTGCAAACATGAAGCCTGATGCTGAACTGCAGTGGAACAAGTACTGAGCCTGAGGAATCTTGATTATACTCAGTGAAGTGACTTTCTGGTTTGACTTCACTCTCAGGTGTATTTAAAAGTTGACTTACATAACCAGCTATTTACTTACATAATACCAGTCCTCCCCCTTGAAGGTAAGCAGATGTCTCACTGAAAGCAGTGACAGCTTTGAAGGTAACTGCTTGGAGATGACTGGAAACTACAGTTATGAACCTTATAAAACAGGTTAAGCTACCTTAAATCTTAATGACAAACATCCAAGATAAGCAAACGAAGTCACATTGCATGTAATGAGGGAGTGAAAGTGACATATCCTGAAGGCAGATGATTAACAGACAGCTCAAAAAATTTGATTAAGTATGTGAACAGTACTACTCACTTCACAACTTTGGGAACATTTCTCACTGACAACTATAATACAAATGAAAACAGTGCTTTAAACACATATTGCTTGCAAAAAAAGACATTTATGGAGATTTAGAGAGTTATTTCCTTCCCCAAAATGCAGTACCTCAATGAAAAAAAAACCCTTCAGAAATTGCATTGAGTAATTTTGTAGAAAATAAGTTTTATTTGGCTCCTTTCATACACTTTTTCAAAAAGAAATGCACATTCATACAGTTTGCCTTTCCCAGTGCATGTTTGGATTTGCTCACATATAGCCATTAATATCAAGGCAAAAGGTGCCTTCGATATCATTTCAAACACATTGTATTTTGACTGTAAAGCACCCAAAGTTACTAATTTTCTAATTATAACTTGGAAAGAAATGTTTCTAGTGTTTCTTCTCCAATTCACACATATAAGTGTCTGACACAAGGAAAAGGAGACAGACCTGCAACAAAGAACTGTCAAGCCAATGGCTACCACTCATTTCAAGTGGAGCTAGAGATAGGTTCTCTATTTCATACTGAGTTCAGATATAAAAGAAAAACCCAGTTAGGTAACTTGCTCTTTTCAAAAGCTCAAACAGCATGGTAATACATTGCTTCAAAGCCACAAATCAGCCACTGGTAGTGAGAGTTTATTTGCAGAGAAAGCACTCTTTCCCCAGTTGTTCCTCATGGCCAGGTTTCTTTCCTGTTGATGGTGACTGTGGAATTTGGTTTTTGGTGCTTCTTCTTAAACACTTCCTGAAGAGGAGTAAATTCAGCTCAAACTTTCATACATCACAAGAAGTACTAACCCATCAAGTAGCCCCTATAGAAAAAAAAGTTACAAACCAAGTTAGCAAGCACAAGCAGCACTCCTCAAAAACTGAGAGAGCAAAAACTTCAGACAGACATAAACTCTGCTGATCAAGGCTATTTGAAATAGTAAGTCCCGTACAAAGTACAAAGTAGCCAGCATAACTACATGCTTCTTCTTCAGCTGATTTTCTTCAATGATCACTAAAAACAAATTAGCCTGTTCTCAAACCAGCTTTGGTAACTGGAATTTTTGAAGCCCATGTTACACCCTCTGAAAGGTTCTTTATTTGCACCCGCTACACAAACTACCAACATTCAGATATTGAGTATAACCCCACATTTTCTGACACGACAACTCTGGTCTCTCTTTCTCCTCCATTTCTCTGAAGCCTTATTTCTTTAATGAGTTTAAGAAAGAGAACTGTTAAGACACGTGTACTCAATGCAACAAGAAAATACATAGCATCAACAAAGCAAGAAAATACAGAGCAGGTCCCTATCCAGCAACCTGCCACTAGGGAACCCATCACTTCTGTGTTCCAAAACAGAATTTTTAACTACACTCCAAAGGTTAAAAAAAAATGTATTTAAGAAATAGAAATTACTATAACTGTTAAGCCATGGAGCCACTCCAAAAATTAACTACCAGTTAATCAGATTTCAGCTATTCTTACATAAAATAGATGGAGTAAGGAATAAACAGGGTGGGGAGGGCAAACTGAAAATCCTGCATTTGGATTTTGCAATGCGTGAAAGCTCCAGATCTTTCCTTTTTGATGTGTGAATACAGAGGTACTAAAACGCCACATATATTGCATGCTTCAATGTTACATTAAGTCTTCCAGCAACAAAAAAAACTGAAACATCACCTTTACTATAGGACTGCTTTGGATGACTCTGAATACTCATTACTGCTGCCATCAGTTCTTCTAGTTATGATTTTTCATGTACATTATCACTACAAGGAACTCATTTGCCTTCCTTCAAGTTCTTAAATACTTGCTTTTTCCTCAAAGCCCTACCTTGACATTACTTTTACCAGACCAGTACATACCCAGGCTACCTTAAAATTCACTGTAACTCAGACTCACTAATCATATCTTCTGACATACCAGGAATGGTCACCTTTCCTAAACCACAGCATAATCATACAGTAGCCAGCTCCAAAAAGCACTCAAGGTAGATTATTCCAAAAAAGCATTGAAAGAAGCAACTTACAGCCAACCTGCAGATCTTTAACATTCCTCATTTTATTTTCTGTTACTCTTAAATTTAACATAGGCACACAAAGAAGAAAAGCTGAAAGACTATTAAATCACTTACGGTAATTTCATCCTCATGAAAACTCTGGCCATGAAGAAGCTCAAGAGCACGCTGACAAATCCAATAAAGAGCAAAAGAAACCTATTCAGCTTGGGGATATTTGGTGCATTGGATCGATCCAGAATGATGAATCCTATGCCACCCATTGTGAAGAGGAAGCTGGATGCAAGCCCTTCCATAATATATTGTCCATTTACTCTAAAAAAAAACAAAAACAAAAAAAAACAAGACAAAAAAAAAGGGGGTGGGGGAAAAAAGAGGGCACAGGAAGAGGAGTCAGAAAACAGAAAAAAAAATTAGTTCCAAACCCCATCTACTCAACCTACTTTAGCTGTACAAATACACAGGATGACTAACTTTGATGGATGACTTTCTAACAAAAAGTAGGTATGGAAACTGACATTAGGCAATTACATCAAGGTTTTGACATGCAATTTATCTCCAGGAGTGATAGTCTGCAAGGTGACCAGTCAAGTATGCTAGTGGTTCTAAACGTATCAGGGTATGCTAATGGCTATCACACAAGCTCATCAGTTTTTGGAAATATCTAGTCTATGGTAGAACCTGGTTTCATAGTCTCAAGGCACAAAACCACAACCCCTGGGCCACTGAGCTTTCCAAGTCTTATTTCCATCCCAATGTTTAGGCAGCAGAGCCTGAATCTTCATCTCAATACAAATCCCACTCAAAGCACTGTATTAGCATATGAAGCACATCTACTGGCTCCAGCACACAGCAAAAGCAGTTCCTGCCTGCAGTAATTTTTGCTACCTGCTCACTAAGTGTACACATATTGATTGTGGAGACCCAGCCTGAAAGTGTCCCAGCTCTCTGTCAATCCACAAGACCAGATTTCCTTCTTCTAAAGCTCAGACGGAAAGAGAAGAAGCAGAGATGCAGAACAAACATTGCACCTGGATCACCAGCCTCCAGCTTCCCACAGTCACTGAACCCTTTTCCTATCCTTGTAATTAGCAATACTAACAACCTCATTAAATTGGTTTGGATGAAGCTACTGTAGATACTAATAAATTATTATTGTATATCATTATCATCTCCTATCCTGAAAACAATCACATCTTCATGTTGTTTCCACTGAGTTGTACTGAACTGCTATCAACTCACTGCAGTAGCCCAATTCATCCTCACTGCGACAAATCAAGGAAGCTTGAGACATATACTACCATCTAGTCAAAGTCAGAATTTGGACACAAGGAGTATCACAGACCTCACGGATTCAAAGAACATTTCTTTGTATTTAACAAAAAACATTATTTGTTCCCACACACACTAAAAACAGAGTTACAAATGTAGATTTAAACCTTCTCAGACCAATTAGTTACTATATTCGCAGTAACATAAGTAAAAGGCTCAAAGACTCGTTAGGCATTTATGTTTCCCACCCTTAGACAGAAAAGTTTCAATTACGCTAGAGTTTAAAAGGCCAGAACCTGAAAATTCACAAACATTACGTAAGCTGTTATGAAATATGATCAAACACATCCTCATCCACTATGAAACTCAACTTTAATAGCAAGGGCTTGGAAGAAAAATTAGTACAGACTTTTCATTTGTAGAAGTTTTAGAAGGGCTGAGATTTTCTATTTCCATTGATGTCAATGGTTTTTTTGGTAATATTTGCAAACTGATATAAAAACAGATCCTGCCTCACACAGAGGTCAAAAAAAAAAAACCGTAAATGCAGAACTCTGCAAGGCAAGTTTATTTCCTTATGCTTAGGCCTTTACAGCACCTCTGCTGCTGAGGCACAGCTCTGCTCCTACCCTCTTACCTGTAGGCCAAGAAGGCCACCGGCCTCTGGTGCCCGTGTTCATCTGTCATCGACCCCACGCTGGGAGGTTCCACAATTACATCGTAGATAATCCCTGTGGAGAGAAAAGCAAGCGACACTTTGAGCCATGAACAGCAAGCACTACCCCAGCACCGCAGGGATGCTCAGGCTTGGAGCAGGCTCCTCTTTTACCATCGACCTGGAGCCGGGCAAGGGGGCACTCTGTTGCCCGGGGCAGGAGCCAGCAGCCCGCTCCGCACCGCACCTCCAGCCCCACCGGCCCCTGCCTCACCTCCGGTGATGAGGAAGTAGGACACCACCACCAGCGCGTAAACGGTCATAGCCGAGGGCATGTGCACCCAGCTCGGCCGCTTCAGCTTGATGTTGGGACACTCGAGCACAGCGAAGGGCAGGCGGAACAGCGTCTCCATGGCGGCGGAGGGCCCCCGCGGACAGACACGGCCCCGCTACTCCCTGCCCTGCTCGTCCCGCCGCGGCCGCCCTCCACCAGCTGACACGAAGACGGAAACGGAAATCGGCTTCCGAGTCCTGAAAGGGGTAAATTAGTAAATTTTTAAAAAGCCAGTCTAAACGAAACACCCAAAAGCTACTCCCGGGACGGAATGTCAGACGTAAAGCACAGATTTTTTATTTTCGCTGCTCAAAACCACCTGAAAACTCAGACCTCTTATGGGAGGCTCTACCCCATCTTACTCACCTGCCAGGACCCAGCAGCCCTGACGTGTCGGTGCTGGGTAACGGAGCGGCGCTTGGGGCGGGGCCAGAGCCAGAGCCAGCCACGTGTCCGCCGCGGCTGGGTCCGGTGGCGCCGAGCAGCTGGCGTGTGCGCGTTTGAGTGCACAGGCGCTCGCCGCCAGCCCCACCATGGAAGACTCGTACGGCCAGGTGCAATTCCAGCCCCGCAGCCGCCGCCGAGGGCCGGAAGCACTCTTGGGGGGGAAGCATCCCCGAGCATCGCGGCAGTTTCCTGGCAAGGGGGAGTAAAAGCACGTCCCGCTCATCAGCTTGCGCAGCCGGGCTGGGGAGACACAGGTCCGAAGAAAAAGATCGGTAGCACGGCTCACCCGATTCCATGTGACTGCAGGGGCGCAGGGCCGTGATACCCCTTGGCTGCACCGTGGGATGTGGACCTTGGTGTCGTGGTTTAAGCCCAGCCGGCAACCCAGAACCATACAGCTGCTCACTCTCCCACCTCTTCCTGCCCCCACTCCCAGAGGACTGGGAGGGGAATCTAAAGAATGTAACTCCCACGGGTTGAGGTAAGAACAGTCCAGTAACTAAGGTGTAACACAAAACCACTGCTGCTACCATCAATAACAGTAAGGGAAATAACAAGGGAAGAGAATACAACCGCTTACCACCTGCAGACCGATACCCAGCCCGACTCGAGTAGTGATCTAACCCTTCCGGGTTAACTGCCCCCAGTTTATGTACTGGGCATGACATGCTGTGGTATGGAATTCCCCTTTGGTTAGTTTGGGTCAGGTGTCCTGTCTGCTTCCTCCTGGCTTCCCCTCCTCCCTGGCAGAGCATGAGACTCAGAAAGTCCTTGGTCAGAGTAAACATTACTGAGCAACAACTAAAACCATCGGTGTTACCAACGTTGTTCTCAGGCTGAAAGTCAAAACCACAACACTGTACCAGCTACTAAGGAGAAAAATGACTGCTACTGCTGAACCCAGGACACCCATCTTGTCCTGGCTGGGGCAGAGGCCAGCAGTCACACACTGGGACTATGGCAGATGGGGAGGATAAAGTGCATTAAACCAGCCCAGCAGCTGCCAAGAGCAAGCAGGGTACCTGCCTGTACCCTGATCATCTTACTCCTGTAAGGGTACTTACAGGTTTGCCGGCTGGGCTTAAACCATGACAGTTCTAATGGATCATTTCCAGTCTGAGCCCTCCTCTTTGGAAGAATCTCCCTCTCAGCATCATTATCCTGTGAACAGATGTTTATGACACTTCTCCCAATTATTCCAAAAGTATTCTCCCTCCACTGTGCCTCTTTTCCAAAAGCCCCAAGAAAAACTTTTAATCTCCCAGCTTTTCATGTGAAACAGGAGCACTTCTGGGGCAGATTCGTTACGCCTGCCCTACTTGCTACTTCTGCTTTAAAAACATTTTTCCAGCATACCAAAGCATTGACTTTTGTACTGGCAGAGTAAGGCAGTAACTAATAAAATTCTAACCTTGTAAACTAACTATAGTAAAGACACCTAAAAAAGTCAGGATACTAATGTTAGTCTTAAAACCTCTTTTAATCAGCTATAGCCTTTGGAACAAGTTTTGGCATAACCCAAGCTGAAGAGAAAGAAACATTTCATATTTAAAGCTACATTAGTTGGGGGCAACGTTTATCCATTTTGGGAATACTGACAGAATTATTTTAATGCCTTGGGACTTTGAATCCATTCTTGGGGAAGTACAGCTCTTTTCACCATGCACAGCATTAAGCCAATTACCTGGACATCAGCCCCTTCCTGACATTGAACCCAGGGGACACCAACACCACAGCTGTGAGTTTGCAGGCAGGTAACCCCAAGTACAAGCTCACTGCCACCAAAGGGCAGGCCTTTTCCTGTGATCTGTTTCCTGGCTGACTGTAAAGACTGACAAGCTTCAGGGCTAGGCATGGTGCTGAGAGCACAGTCCAGAGGAGGAATGCGCACACATCCCTAGGAAACACAGCCTGAGCAGATCCACAACTGATCCTCAAAACCTCTCCAAATGGCATCCTCACTGTTCCCAGTAAGTCTGTGTGCTCAGTAATTATTTCTCCTCCTTCCTTATTCCAGGACTGGAGCTGAAAGCTCACTACTTTTTGAAGAAACAGTTACTAGTAAAAACAGATACTCACTTCTTACCAGACACTAAGACTAGTTCAAAAATTCAGAGCTGGAGTAAGAAATACCACTGCACCTGCAGTTAAGTGCAAGAATAATCCAACACACTCCTGGATAGCATTAAAGGCACATTTACAGTTCTTCCTACTGAAAAGAATGAAGCCAATGACAGCCTGTTCAAGCTGCGCTCTGGAGCTCTTCTTGAATCATACATCCAACTGCTGACCCAGAAAGCATCTAATGAACAAAGAGAACAAATACAACAGGCACAGCTTTCTTTCAGGAGACCCAGATGCAGCAGTATACAGCTGCCTGCAAGATATGGAACTGGCTTTGAGAAGTCAAGCAAGCTATTCCTCCCACCCTCAGACTTGAGTAACTAACTAGCACATGCTTCTGAAAAAAAGTAACTATCTTACACCTATACTAGCTCTCTTCTTCATCTGACAAGCTCTCTTCCAGTCCTTAGTTTTAAGTCTTCTCTTGTTTGCTTTTCTTTTTCAGATGACTCACTTTCTTCTGATTGATTACTCACTTTCTTCTGAGTGATTACTCACTTTCTTCTGAGTGATGTCCTCTGATGATTTCATACAACTGCATTGCTCAAAGTTACTCCAGTCTCTCTACAGGATTGTGAGACAGAGCTGAGAGTCCTTTTTAACCAGAACTCCTTCTACCTGCTTGATCTCCCAGTCTGCACACAGCACAGAATCCTGATTTACAGGATTTGCTTCACCAGACCCCAGGTAATGCATCATACAAGCTGTGAGAGGCAGCTCCTACCAGCTTTGTTTAGCAAATGGAATGACTGTACACAAGAAAAGTGGAGCTTTCATTTATTGGGCTGAAACTGCAAAAAGATTCACTTTGACTTCTGGCTCTGTGCCTGTGCCTTCAACACTTTCACAACAATCTTCTGCTCCTCAATAAGAAAAGCTCTTTTGATTCTGGAAAGGAGATAAAACAACAAAACTTTAAGACCTTGTCTATTTAAGTGAAAACACAAAAAACAAAGTTATAATTAGTTCTGCTGTCTCCAACATTAATTACACATGTGGTGTTAGTTCCAAAAGTACACGAAAAGCAAAACCATCAATGTATTTTGTCAGCATCAAGAGACAGGGATAGTGAACAAATGCACAAACACAGCAATCTGGGGAAGGTCTACTGCACCTGCAAACTTACAGTGAGCGGCTTGTAGGCAACCAAGGTAATACCTGATGGCTGAACACTGGAAAAACTCCCACCTCCACTAACTTCAAAGGCAAAATCAAAACTCCTCACTCACAAATTTAGACATTGTTAAAGTCAGAACTGCTGTGACCAATCACAGTCAGCTCTCTTCCTCGGAACTACAGAAAACTTTATGCGAGTCCAGTTACCAAAACAAGACCAGTTCCTCCCTGAGGATTAAAGCTCCCATGCGCATAAAACTCTGGCAGGGCAAGCCATGCCTGAAGATAGCTGTCTCTGAAAGACATGTAAGGCCACCATGCAGATGGACGCGACAGCACTTATACATCAACAGCCCACTTGACAGCTTTGAGCTAAAAACACAAACACACCATTTCAATGCTGTTCCCTGTGCATTCTGTATATATGGCTACTTCTGCAGCACACAAAATCTACCAAAGATGCCTAAACAGATGCAGAATAGAGTGCAGTTTAGGGAGAATAAGAATAAAGCATACTCATGTACTAAAAAAGACCTACCAAGCTCATGAGGCTTTTGGGAAAACATGCAGAAAAAAGACTCGCCTAACACTGGGAAGTTACGCTACAGATCTGCAGCTGTAACAACCAGTCTCCAGTGGCATCTAACACGATTCAACTTAGAACTCACACAAGAAAAAAGAGTGCTGGCAAGGTCTGTACTACAGATGAAAGAACTGGCATTAGATTGCTGGCTCCAGAGATATGCTTTAATTACCATTTTCAGGGATGTCGTTCTTTGTAATACATGTTTTTCCTCAAACTTTCCAAGTAAGTATAGGATGTATAGGTGTTACATAATAAAACTGAATTCAGTGACACGAGGATGATCATGGGACTGGAGCACCTCCTGTATGAAGACAGGCTGAGGAAGTTGGGGCTGTTCAGCCTGGAGAAGAGAAGGCTGCGTGGAGACCTCATAGCAGCCTCCCAGTATCTGAAGGGGGCCTATAGGGATGCTGGAGAGGGACTCTTCATTAGAGACTGTAGTGACAGGACAAGGGGTAACGGGTTAAAACTTAAACAGGGGAAGTTTAGATTGGATATAAGAAGGAAATTCTTTCCTGTTAGGGTGGTGAGGCACTGGAATGGGTTGCCCAGGGAGGTTGTGAATGCTCCATCCCTGGCAGTGTTCAAGACCAGGTTGGACAAGGCCTTGGGTGATACGATTTAGCGTAAGGTGTCCCTGCCTACGGCAGGGGGGTTGGAACTTGATGATCTTAAGGTCCTTTCCAACCCTAACTATTCTATGATTCTATGACATCCAGCAAAGTCCATCTTAAAGCTTAACCACATAAGGATGCTTATATGCAACCAATCAATAGTTCTGAATCCCAAACTGCATAAAGAAGCCTAACTGATCTTACACTAGTATCTTTGCAGAGTACAGAAGAGCAGGCCAACAGAACAATCTGGGCTCAATATAAAATATAAAAATCCAGGATAAGCAGACTGTTTAGCACCAAAGCAACAGTGCGGTAAAAAATAATGAATAACAAACTTGCTACAGAGAAGCTCCACAGCAGGAATTAGCTCAAATCAGAGGGATAAAATTGCATGCATCACTACTAACATGCCTCGTGCCTGACCCTCTCATTTTACTATACCAAAGACAGACAAGTGTTTTCAAAGTTTTGGTCCACACTAAGAAAACACATGAGATGTAAAATGTCATGCAAAGCACAAGAATAAAGCTGGCTTTCTGTAAGCTTACCTGTCGCGGACACACTTGGCACACATGGAACCACCATAGGCCCTGCTAACGTGCTTCTTTGTTTTTGACAGCCTCATAAGAACTTTAGGACGCACAGCACGAACCTACAGAAATCAAAAATGAGAAGTGTATCATAACAGAGTACTTTTGGGTAACAGCTGTATCAAGAAAATTCACTCTAATAATTTAAAATAGCAGCAACACGTGAAGTTGACTATTCAAGATGCAAAAAAGTGACTGAAATCGCAGCTTGTAATATGTGCCATCTTCAGTATTCCTAAGCTGATCTTTTCATTCTACCACAGGATTTCACCCATAGACTCATTAAAAAATTATTAGAAAAGGACTGTTTTCCCAAGGGTAGGAACTGCTCAAATATTGACATTACTCAAGCATTCCCACCACTGTTAAGTGCAACAGCGTTACACCAAGAAAACCGTTTGGAGAGAGACATAATTTTAAAAACATTCATTCCATTTTCCTAAAGCTGAAAGCCCACCTAACAAATACAACCTAAAGACTTCTAAACCTGCTACAGAATCACCTCAAAGAAAATTTCAGCCAGTTACATCTTACAGAAACAAGAGTTCAGATATAAAGGAATGAGAACCACAAGCAAAAATTATTTCTGTGGAAGAACTTTAAAAAGGCACTTACTCTTTTAGCTTTCAAAGCTTACTTTACCAGTTAAGTTTTACAACGTTTGGATAAAAATAGTTTTAAGAAAGTTTTTCCAACAACAATTAATCAACAGACATACTATATTACATACAAAGACTCTCTGTAGGGAAAAAAAAAAAACATTAAAAGTCATATGCCAGCAAGGCTAAGACTTACACCACGAAGTCTTCCTGGACAGATACCACATGCTGACTTGGGAGCCTTCCCCACCTTCTTGGTGTAAAGGTAAACAATCCTGTTCCCGGGTGTTCGGGACCTAAATATGGCAGAAAAATACTCAGCTAACATAACAATCAGAACTTAAATTCGGCTTTCTCAAAATGTAGATTAGGTTTTCATCAAAACTATGTCTTACTTACAGTCTGGTCTTGTTGGAAGCTGTGTTGTAGGACAACCTACGGCGGTAAGTCAGGCGCTGAACCATTTTTTACACCTGTATTAGTCAAAAATAAAGCAGTACTACTTTAAAGGCTCAACATCCATATGGAAATTCACATATCACAGCATCACCTGCACTGAAGCACTGAGCAAGATCCGAACCAGCAGTTGCTGATTCTGTATTAAAAGAATTAAGGCATTTCCTCATCAATGACAGCTGACAAAACTACACTAAAACCCAACAAAATGGGTTGGCAGATGGAACATAATTTGCGATAAACATTCATGTAACTAATCTGAACACAGTTCAACATCCTGATCTTGTCTGTATGATGTCACGCTCCCCTAGAATACTACTTAACGCTTTAGCAGCTGTGTATTATTATCTTATCAACACAACCTCCACTGGCAAGACTGAAAGCCGAGATGAAGTAAACCCTACCTTTTCCACCTCTATCTGGCAGCAAGCTGTATTAACCGTGCTCTAGACCCAGACCAGAATCATTCTCCGGGCCGAGCACAATGCGACAAAGGCAGCGAAACTCTCAGAACCCCGCACCTACCGCGGCCCAATGGAATAAGGCCCCGGCAGCCGTTAACAGCCCGGCAACTCAACAGCTGCTGCCGAGCCTTGCACTTCTTGGGCGCCGGGCTGGTGGGAGGCGAGCCTCAGCGCCGCAGCACCGGCTCGCTGCGGCCCGGGAGACGTGGGCTCCTGTCGGGAACCCCTCAGCGGAGGCCCGGCCTCCCCGCCCTACAGCTCTGGCCCCTCCGCCGGCCCAAACGAGGGCCGCAGTGCCGCCGGCCCATCGCCACAACCCCCGAGGCCTTTGACCGCTCCCCACCGCCCGCCGAGTCGCGGATGAGGGTGGATGAACGCCCACAGAGCTTCAGTACCCCCGCCATACCTGGTGCCGCCGGACCCGGAAGAGGAAGCCGAAGCGCGCGGGTCAACATTGAAATAGAGACGCTCTGAAACCCGGAAGGAATAGCGGCGCATGCGTGCTGTGGCTTGTGTCGGCCATGGTTGTATAGGTGGCACCATGTTGTACGGAAGCGGAGGAGAGAGGGTAGTGCCATGTTGTACGTCTGGGGCCGGGCGGGGCGCCGCTCAGCGGCAGGAGCGGGGAACAGAGCCGGCAGCACGGGCAGCGGAGCTGGTGAGATAGTGTGAGGGGATGTGGTAAAGCACCACAGAATCCTCTCTGCCGCAAATCACAGAATGATTCAGGAGGGACCTTAAAGATCACGCAGTTCCAACCGCCTGCCACGAGCAGGGACACCTTCCGCTAGACAAGGTTGCTCAAACTTGACCTTGAACACTGCCAGGGATGGGGCAGCCACAGCTCCTCTGGGCAACCTTTGTCAGTGCCTCACCACCTGCAGTGAAGCATTTTTTCCTAGTGTCTAATCTAAATCTCCCGTCTGTCAGTTTAAAGCCATTCCCCTTGTCCTAGCTGTTACATGCTGTTGTAAAAAGTCCCTTACCAGATTTTTTGTAGTCCACCTTTAGGCACTGGAAGCTGTTCTAAGTTCTACCCAGAAAACTTAGGAGATCTCCAGGCTGAACAAGTCCAACTCTCTCAACCTGTCTTCATAGGAGAGGTGCCTCAGCTCTCTGGTCATCTTCATGGCCCTCCTCTGGACTCGGTCAAACAGGACCATGTCCTTCTTATGCTTGATTTCTCCACTTTCCCTCAGGATCCTGTGCACATGCTCTCTTTCTTCCCCTCTTGTTTTTGGTCTGTTTTGTGTGTGTGTTTTTTGTGGTTTTTTGGTTTTGTTTTGGTTTGGTTTTTTTTTGTATGCTTCACTGAAAAACTATTTTTCTAAAACATTAGCTTCTCTCCTCAGAAAGAACATTTTGTTCTTTGTCATGATAGTTATGTACTTGAAGGCCCATAAGCCATTTCTCAGACTGCTACTCTCAGTTCTAAATTACAAGCCACTCATACATGGGTTTGCATGCCAAACTGGCAGATAACACACATGGGCAGGCACTCGAGCAGGAACATAAAGATATATAAATGTTTCTCTGCTGGTCGGATCCACCTGACCCAAAATCCTATTTCCAAGCCATAAGTACCTAGGAAAAGCATAGGGGAAACACAACAAGGCTAGATGATCTTTCCCTTAATACACCCTCACTACATTCACCAGCTGGCATCTTGCAAGCTTGCTGAGCTGGGTCATGTTCTCTGGCTACCATATTTAATGGCCTCTGGTAGATCCCCGAGAAAAGAAGGGAACAGAAACGGCAAGAGCTAAGAGAGCATAAGGTGGTTAGTCAGCTGCCAGAAACAGTGTTCCAGTGGTGCCAGATCTGCCAAGTCTGCAGTTATTAAAACATAAACACAGCTTCTCCTATCAACCCCTTGCAATTTCATTAAGCACTGCTTTCTCAGGAAGGAAAGGAGGAACACTCTCTGGAAGGAGCGCCACCTAAATACATGTCTTCTCCAGGATGTTTTATTCAGCTCCCATCCACACATACACGTCCCTGACAAACTGACAAGCACATTGACAAGCAGAGCTGGCCTCTGTGTTCTGAAATGAGTGGCTGGATGGTGAAAGGAAGTCCCCCACCATCCATCTGTGGCCTCCCTAATGGATCCTGCCACATGGCACTGACACATCAAAGACTGAGAGATTTTAAAGCACAAGTTTCCATCCCTTCTGTTCCCCAGTTCCTGCTGCTGGTGGTGGTCCCACTCTGCCACACAAAGCCCATTTCCTCCTCCTCACAGTATGGGTGAACGCGTTGTGGCTACTGCTGCAACTGATGCTGACTTGCACAGGCAAAATCTTCATACAGTATCAATTGGAAATCACCATCTGTGAGAGGTCCGGGACCAGGCCCACTCTCTGTAAGACCTGAAATGCTCTTTTGCTCCCCTGGCCTAAGCAATGTTCTACAAAGATAACCAGGGACCTGAGTATTAAATATGTAGGATGCTGCTGCCATCGTTAGCAGCTTCAGCTTTGCTTTTGGAAAGTAGCGGGAGCTCAGAGAGCTTTGATGTGTGCTCCTGGCCTTATTTACTGGTTTGAAAGTTCATTGTACTGCATCTTCTCTGTTTTCGATCTATAATTATTATTTCAGTTAATTATTGAGTCTTTTTAAGTGCAAATTATGGACACCAGGATTTTTCTAATTCATGAAAGAAAATATGTATGAACTAGATTTTAGGGTACATTAAAAATCGGAGTGTATTTCAGATGACAAGTACACTTCAGAGCAATTAGAGTATTTAATATGAACTTTCTAGGCCCAGGACCCTGAAGGGAATAAGAAAGCCAATTAAATTAGATTAAATAATCATGCCTAAATATAAAAGTGTAACACAATCCAATTGTTAAATAACAAAACTATTAAATTATGATGGAATAGTTTTGTTTAGATGTTGTCAGTGCAACAGGTAACTATTTTATTATTGAACAACAGTATTGATACTTTTTGAACCTACCTAATTTGGGCTCTAAACTCAACTGATGTAAATTTAGGAGCTGTCACTTAAATTCCAGCAGATTGCTTCTGCTGATGCACTGGCCTAGTTTTTTAATCATTTTCAGTTTATTTCATAAGAGGAACAGGACCATCAGGCAGACAGCTAGCCAGAACATCTAGAAATGTTAGTTTTATGACAACTGGTTTAATGCTGTCTAATGTGGGAAGAAGATTTTAAGCAGGAGCTCACTAAGCCCATTTTGTACAGATTAGTGCTAGTCAAGTGATTCTCTCATGTTCTCTGCTACTCCTGCCTCTTCACAGGACCAAATTTTCTCTTTTGGGAGCATTTATTTTCCATGCCCAACATGTTTCATTAACTCTTTCTACAATGTTTTCTTTCCTTGAAAACAATAAAGGGGACAGATCAGCAAATGCACAACCTGTTGACTGGGAAAACTAACAGTGGCATCCTATAAACCCCATATTTTCCCTTCTAGGATGGTAGTGGAATCACAGGGCCTAAGGATGTGGGCTTTTTTCCTTGAGAAAACTGAAGGTTGGTTTCCAGGGTGTATTTACTTATTGGCAGTGTAAAACTGGAACCCTGTTTTCCACCAGAGATCGTTAGGAAGATAATAATCTCTGATGGCAGATTAGTAATATGGTGCATTTTGCACCAGCCAACAAGTTGTGACTGCATTCTGTTCACTGCATCAAAAGAACACTTTGTTCCCAATTTAAGACCAGTTCTTGGTATGTTGACCATCCTTGCTTTCTCTTCTGCATGGCTCTCTCCTTACCTCTCTTTTTGCTGAAAGTCCCCTATCTATGTGCACAACCATTCACTTGGTCCCATGGTAGGTTCCAGCAGCATAAGAGCAAGAGTGCTTAAATGAGTAAAGCTCTATGAGCTCAGCAGGACTCCAAGAAAGTATCCCGCTTTCCTTCTCTCACCCTCCTGTCCCACACCCAGGGATCTCCCAGGCCCACACCATAAGCTTAAATTGAAAAATGAGAGGTTGCTTTCACTTATATTCACTTGATATTGCACCAGCCTAGACTGGCGAATTCTAAGAGGCATGGGATGGAAAGTAAGCCTGTGTGCAAGCATATATAGGGTACTGCAGAGAGGTAAAAAAAAGGTGATAGCTGGGGGACATGCTGCTCCTGTTAAGCCATAGCCACAATACTATTTCTATGAATGGTGGATGTATATGTGCTTTAGAAATGTCTCATTGAAATCAGAATCCAACCTCAAGTGCTGCATTGGTACAACCAGCAGGATTAGGTCTGTAAATGAGGGAAGGAAGTGAGAAACAGAAAAGTACTAGTAACAACTGGAAAGAACAGAAAGAAGAAGAGGTCCTACAGTCCATTTTCTCTCCAGAGCTATTTTTTTCTTAAAAATCCCATTGCCTTTCCTCCTTAACTATGTGGCATGTGTCACAATCTGATTATACTCATTTATATCAACATAACCCTTCCACAACCCAGGTCTGTGCAAATTACATTAGAAGAAACTGTAGTTCATTTCCATTTCAGTAGAGCTTGTTAAACAAGCAAAATTATTTTGTAGCAAAGGGAAAAACAATTTAGTGGAATGCACTCCTAGTATAGGAAGTACATAACATCATATTTGGGTCGAAACTTTTTCTGTCAGAAATGTCATAACCCCGTAAGAAAGAGAATTAAAATCCCGTTATTTTAATTTACATCTAGCCATGAGATAAGTAAAGTTATCATTGAAATTCTAATTAAATAGGATGATTGACTAAGGTAGGACATCAAAGAAGAGAAGTGAATATGATAAGTCAAAGTCTTATTAATTAGTCTGCGTGGAAGAAATTCCTGGGACGTCAAGCTGAGGCTGCTGCAAGGAGAAAAAAAGCAGACAAGAAAATGTGTGTTTCTTTGAAGTTAGGAACTGAGATAGTGATGGAGGTAATTGTGTCTGACTGGATCCAGTAATGAAGAGCTGTAAATCAGACCTAGGAATCGGAGGAAAGATTCTAGTAACGAATGTGGCTGCCCCCCTGCTGCGAAGAAACAGAATGCAGAGCTGACTAATTGACCCAGTCTATCTCCCAGTAGCTCTCTGTTATTATTTATTAATTTTTAATTTCTGAATTATTTACGTTCTGGGAAATTATTTTTGACAGCCTGTTAGGCGTGCCAAAGTTAATGGAGGATGAAAGGACCGGTACTAGAATTAGCAGGGATGTAGTCACAGGCTACTGAATTTAATGATTTTGGAAGGGAAAATTGATTTCACACAGCGTGTCACTTTATACTACTTTAGGGATACACCAGCTATTTGATTAATTGAGGAATAACCAACTCAAAGTATATTTGAAGTGTAAATGAATCACAGTGCTCAGCTGTTTATTTTTCCCCTTTTCTGATGAGAACACTGAGTTTGCTTAAAGTTGCTGATTAAAACCAATACAGGTAGGCTCCATACTCACACCTGCTTACTTGCTCCTGCCTTGGAGAAAAAAAATAATAAACTTCACCATCTGGAGGAGACATGCAATTCTCCATCTCACTTGGGACGGAGTTCGTCCTTTCCACACAACGCCTAATTAAACAGGCTTTGTGCGTACTCCCCCTCCCTCTGCTGAAAGTGTTTTTAGACAGAGAAGGATACTGAGCTTGCGGGCAGCTCATGCAGCCAAATGTGAATTCTGCACAGTGGTGGCTCCTGGCTGCTTTTCCTCCACTCCCTAAGATGAAGCATGGGTCCCTGGCCTACGACATCTCCCAAGTCACTTCTCCTGGTACAGTGGTGTTATATTGGTCTACACATCTACAGGTGCGGAGCAATGAGAAAATAAAGGGGCTCTGCAAAGCTCTTCCAGGCTGTGAAAGTTGTCCTTCATCCTCAGTGTCAAATGTAAGCTGAATCCTGTCTGCTGCTCACGTCTAAGCCTTCTAGCCATCAAGGGCATGGAGGAAATCTTTTCCCAGCAATGAGTGTAATGCTGCATGCAGCTCACATCTCCAGAATGATTCACACTGGAAATGTCTCCAGAGCTGCTCGGGATCATCACTTGCTCCTTCCTCCGACAGCAGCTGCCTGAGGCAAAGTGTATGGCTGCATTTCATCTGCCATACAGGGAGGATGTGCCTCCCAGCATCCTGCACCTAGGATCAAAGGGACAAAGCACCCTTGCTGACAGGGCTTCCTATGGCAGAATTGGGTAAATCATTTAATTAAGGGCAGTGTAATCAGCCACGTGGGCACTGGTGGTAGTTACCATGATTTTGGATTAGGATGGCACAGTGTGACGTCCAAAAGGTCAATCATGCATGAGGTGCTTTAAAAAAAAAAAAAAAAGTGTTCATGATTTAAAGACACATTAAAAGGTATAGGGAGGTTTTGCTGCTTAGGTTCTCTAAGGGGTTTATACTTCAGTTAAACATCTTGCTAGGTTATTTTCCTGAGCACTTCAGGAGTGCTAGGAACATTTCTTTGTGATGTTTTACTGACAGGAACATGCAAAGTTAGCCTGTTCTTTTCTGTTGCTTTTTGGATTTACCAGAGGCAATTAGCTATGCAAGAAGGATCAGCTACAACAGGGTGTTAAAAGAGATGTGTGACCTGTGGCCTCTGCTCCAGGGATTGCTACTTTATCACTTTTTTTAATCATGTGCAGACTGGACTGGCTCCTAGAACAAAAAGCTTGATTCTGTGATTGTCACTAAAACTTTCTAAAGAAAAAATACTGTACTTGATGTTGAGAAAAAACCACAAATTATGATTTACAAGATTGCACTTTTTGTTTGTAATAAAATTGCATTACTGAAACTACACTCACAGCCATGCAACTCTGAAGAGTTCAATTCACTGGTGGCAGAATTGAGTGCCCCAAATTTCACAGAAAATGTCCTATATATTTAGATGATGGCTTAAGAAACAGTGAGTCATATCTTCAGATGTCACAGAACAATTAGGCAACTTATGCTACTTGAAGATCTGCCTTACAGTTTTAAAATGATCAGTGGATAACCAAATACATTCTATATGTATATGTAGAAATTAACCCTAAAATATTTACATTCAATAAATGCAGCTAAGTAGTTGGATGAAGATGATTTAGTGTGCTCTGCTGTTCTATCCTGGAATGAATCCATCACAGATCTGGCTTCTCCCTATTTCAATATTAAAACAAAAGGGATATGCTTGCAGTGCAGCACCCTGGGAATTCAGCTCAGAAGTCCAATTAACAACAACTAATTCCCTATACTGCCTATTTACCCCTAAGAGTTGGCTAGATATAATAAGTCATGCATTTTACATTTAAGCTTTTAATGCCCAGAGGATAACAAAAATCTATCCTGATCACTTTTTATTTTCATCATGTGAAGACAGAAGAAATCATCCCTCCTTCCCCCTTCAGTTAAGTGTACCCATATCTTGGCACTAAGTCTATGAAAGGAGATGTGCCCTGCCTTCTACCTACCCTACTTAGAATCATAGAATCATAGGATAGTTAGGGTTGGAAAGGACCTTAAGATCATCTAGTTACAACCCCCCTGCCATGGGCAGGGACACCTTACACTAAACCATGCCACCCAAGGCTTTGTCTAACCTGGCCTTGAACACCACCAGGGACGGAGCATTCACAACCTCCCTGGGCAACCCATTCCAGTGCCTCATCACCCTAACAGGAAAGAATTTCCTCCTTATATCCAATCTAAATTTCCCCTGTTGAAGTTTTGACCCGTTACCCCTTGTCCTATCACTACAGTCCCTAATGAAGAGTCCCTCCCCAGCATCTCTATAGCCCCCCTTCAGATACTGGAAGGCTGCTATGAGGTCTCCACGCAGCCTTCTCTTCTCCAGGCTGAACAGCCCCAACTTCCTCAGCCTGTCTTCATACGGGAGGTGCTCCAGTCCCATGACCATCCTCGTGGCCCTTCTCTGGACTTGTTCCAACAGTTCCATGTCCTTTTTATGTTGAGGACACCAGAACTGCACACAATACTCCAGGTGAGGTCTCACGAGAGCAGAGTAGAGGGGCAGGATCACCTCCTTCGACCTGCCGGTCAAGCTCCTTTTGATGTAGCCCAGCATACGGTTGGCTTTCTGGACTGCAAGCGCACACTGAAGCCGGCTCATGTTCATTTTCTCATCAACCAACACCCCCAAGTCCTTCTCCACAGGGCTGCTCTGAATCTCTTCTCTGCCCAACCTGTAGCTGTGCCTGGGATTGCTCCGACCCAGGTGTAGGACCTTGCACTTGGCATGGTTAAACCTCATGAGGTTGGCATCAGCCCACCTCACAAGCGTGTCGAGGTCCCTCTGGATGGCATTCCTTCCCTCCAGCGTATCAGCTGAACCACACAGCTTGGTGTCATCAGCAAACTAAAACTTCTGTTTTAAGTACATCTTAAAACAATGTAGAATTATTCACCTTCAAATGATGGTTTACTGCTCATGCACTGGACCAAGCTTACTACCCTTTAGACTGTCACACTGTACTGTATGCAGTATACACTCCCCTCACACTGGTGATAGCTCACTACAGGAGGAATCGAGGTAGTGCCCTGCTATGAGCATATTTTAAAAGTTAGAACTGCAACATAGTGTGTTTATTACCATGCAATAACATGCTAAAGATTAGGCAAATACTTTCAACAACTAGAATGATCTTCTGCAGCTCAACAACAGAATGATCTTCTGCAGCTGCCAACAAAATATTTTTGCAACACTGTACTTTGCTGTGCATGGCAAAAACCCCAGAAGGTGTTATCTTTTCTCAAAGCTGTGATGAACTTGGCTTATGCTCAGGATCAGACTGGCTGTTCCTTATGGGGGTTTCTGAGTTGCATATTTGCAGATTCAAGGCCAAATTTCCAGAGGGGCTCACAGCCAGCTTTCCAAATGCTCAGCTGCCAAGCTGTGAGCCAGGCCCAGGAATCAGGACAACTGAATGGGAACTGAGCTGTTACGAACATCCCAGACTAATTGGCTGATTCCTCTCTTAGCAGCTCTGTTTGGGACAGAAGTTGAGACAGCTGAATGCAGTATTTCTGACATACTCAGATACGATTTTTAGTACCTGTTTTCTGTACAGAGCTGGCAGCTGCAAGAAGGGGCCTCCTCCAAACTTTTGAAGAAAAGTGTTGGCTGCATCTTGTTCTTGAGCAGAGTTTTAGATTGTTCTGCACCCTCCTCCCTGTGGGCAGCAAAAGGAGCAAAAGTCTGACACCCTGGTCCTGAAACAGGGCACTATGGAAACAACATGAATCCTGAAACAGGGCTCTGTGGAGAGGAATACAATACCCACATTTGTGTAATACCCCATGGTCTAACTTCCTGGTTGCTGGGAAGCAAAGGAGGATGGCAGCAGTAATGATTCTTTCCCTTCTAAAGCCTATAGATTTTAAGTGCTTTGAGGAGATGGAAGGCAAGCATTAAATTTTGATTAAAGGGACACTGCCAACTCACATTAAGCTTAGAATTTAGTGGCTTGTAACAGGCAGGTGTAGGTCGATTGGAGCTTGCATATTGGGTGTAAATATTTCTTTGCCACAGGGTGAAGACAAGCATCTTATCTTGAAGCCAAGAACAGAAGACATCAAAACTTAACTTGATTAGAAACAAAAATAATATGGTCCACTCTAGTTTTGCTGCTGAGGGAGAAAGAGTGCAGATGGGAGATACGTAGCTTCCTAGATGTGTAACAGCTCACCAGTTAAGTTTGGTGTGTGAGAAGCTCATTTGTTTGTTTGTTGTTTAATGTGTTTTTTAACAGTGATAAAAAGCCACACTAAAGTCCTATTTTAAAGAACTGGCTAGGGACTAGAGTGAAAGGAGAGGTTACTGCAGGTAAGCTGGTGCAGGGACTAAGCTGCACCTAGTAAATGCCTTTGCATCTGCTTTTCTTTATGGTGAATACATAATGAAGGTGAAGCCATCTTGTGTTTAATATATGGTCTATTGCAGCTGATGAGCGAGTGGCTTATTAGTTTCAACAATCAGAGGTACTTCCTGCAACTCATTTTGCCTCTGACAGGAGGCAGATCCAAACCAAATTTTCCAAGGAGAGAGCCTAAAAGACAGCACCTCACTGTAGCTTCAACACACACTAACCCTATAGAAAGAATATTACCCAGAACTTCTCATTCTAAGAGAAACAATGGCAATATCAATCCAGATTCTCACCTGATAAAAACCAGCTCCATGAAAAGAGCTATGCTGATTTATAATAGCCAAAGCTCTGACCCCATATCCCAAAGTGTTAGCTGCAGCCACAGAAATCTACTGCAGTAAAGGTGTAGCTCAGTTTGGTCTTGCCTCAAGCAAAAGCTCGGTTGCTGCTGCAGATTTATCTGTTGTCTTTGCAATATTTACTCAAACAAGCCTGTCAAGGGAACAGGTTAAAGAAATCAAAGTGAAAGACAACAATGGCTGTGATTTTGTACTTCATAGAGTATGAAAGAGTGAAGCAGACCTCAGATAACCATCCCTGTGGCTTCAGATACACTTTGGGCGCAATAATGCCTCCTCCCAGGGTCCATGCATCAGGTGAGAGGTGATCCCCAAAGCTGTAGTGTTAAGTATATATGATATGTACGAGGACAGATGAAATAAGGCCATGCTACTGCACTAGAGATGGTATACCGAGTACAGAAGAGCGCCGGAACACAAATTGAAAACTACTTGTTAAACAAGGTTAATTTGTTCTCCTTCCACAGTGTAAAATGGCTTCAAACACTTCTAAACTAGGTCATTTGACTGCTCAAGAAATACATGGTGCTAGGCAGCTGTCTTTAGCAACAAGTTTATTGGAGAGTTTGATTGCATCCCAAAAGCATGCTAGATATTTCTGACCATATCAAAGAAAACTCAACTATATTACCAAGGCACACTAATGAGGTGGTTTGTTTAATTGAAATCCTTTAAGTTTCCATGTAGTACAGCATGAAAAAATCATTATTTTCATTAGATGAGCTACTCGTTAGCTGAAAATCTAAGTTACAAAATATCACAGTGTGAGATAATAAACGCATTGTAAAATGCATTAAATCCAGGTTATTAAAAGGAATTTCTACTTAAAATATATAGCCATGTAATTTGAGCATAATTCCTAGTATTATGAATCAGGTCTGGTCCTTTGAAAAACATAGCCCAACCCAAAGGACCTTATTGTGCTCTCATTGCAATCACTGTCAAAACTCTGAGCTATTATAGCCCAGATAAATGACTTGATTACTCTGTGTCACCATTCTGTAGTAATGGGTCTTGCATATAACAGTTAGAAGTTCTAAGACTCACCTAAAGGTCCCAATTTTGGTCTTGAATTCATCACTGCTCTGTTTGATGCCATCATTAAAAGCAAGTCAGAAAGCAGTTTATAGCTTGTATTTTTAGAGTCAAATGTTTACCTAAAAGTATAAAACTTGGAGAATTCGTGAGCTTTATGAAAGAGCAAACATCTTCCATGTATTTGGTGAGAAGTAGTTTAAGAACCATATTGAGTCCATGATAAATTTGGGTGAAAAAGGAAAAATGGCTGGAAATTACCTCTGGAACAGATCCAGTCCAACCTTTCTGCTCAAAGGAGAGTCAGCTGGAGCACTTTGCTCAGGACTGTGTTGAGCTGGGTTTTGAGAATCTCCAGGGATAGCAACTCTACAACCTCCCTGAGCAACCTGTCCATGTGTTTGACCACTTTCACAGTAAATATCTTATGTTTTGGATTTCCGTTATTTCAGTATTTCCTGCATTTCTGCCTCTGTGTTCTTTACACCACATTGCTCAGTATTTATACAGACTGATAGAATTCCTCCTGAGCTTTCTTAAGGCTAAACAAGCTCAGGGTCCTAATCTGCATACCAAGAGTTGTTCCTGATCACTACCAATTAAACACTGATCTGAGATGAATAGAAAATTGTATTTTGGTTACTGATTCACAGATGAGCCTGGTCCATGTGAAAAAAAAAAAGTTAAAAGGAAAAAAAAAAGGAAAAAAGAGTAATATAAAACTCTGGTGCAACTATTGCTTTATGTAGTTTTACAACAGGGCCAAGTTTTATCCTTATTCACTGCACACACACCTCCCCTCTTCTTTTCTATGTCTGAGATTAATGAGGGTAATTTGTCCTCAATTCTCATATCAGTGGTTCATTCCTAACTTATTGCTACACATACGTCATCTCACTCACACTTTCTCTCTCCTGCCTTGATGAGGGATTAGTTCACCAGCACTTTGAAGGCATACTTACAGCATTACTCTGTCACTAATCTAGCCAGCACAGGTCACCATGGTTGTGCAGAAACAACCCCAGGTTATTAGCAGCCACATTTTAATTCCTGAGGAGCCCTGGGCATGCGTTCAGGTTACCTCCACATGTTGGCAACCAGTGATGTTGACACGTCTTCACAGCTATTGCTCTCCCTGCCAGCTAAAGCCAAGTGAACAACACTGTACAGTGCCACCAAGAGCGCATGGACATGGGAGGAGGAGATACAGCAGGACTGCTGAAAGATCCCTTTAGCCAGCAAGCCAGCCAGCAATTCAGGAAGAGTGTATAGATTACAGATGGTGCAATAATTTCACAACTGGCCAAATTTTGAGCCTAAGCAATACTTACATGTAGATGAGCCTATATTAAAGGCTGCCAATGTGACAGCAGAGAAGGCCAATACTGAGGCTTGCCCAGGAATGGCAGGCTGCCCCCATACAGCCACCTGCTGAGATAACTGATGCCAGAAATGCAGTAATCCTGGTAAGGCAGGTGCCTGGGGGGATCAGGTCCTTAGTCAAAAACAAAACAGAAGCCCAGGCCACCTTTATACACCTTGCAAAAACCCCTCTGCTATCAGCTGCAGACTGTGAACTCCAAAGGCTTGAGCGCCAGAGGAGCTGAACCCCATGCTCCTGCCTCTTTCCTCAGTTATGAAAACAGATATTTCTTCCTTAACAGAGGCAAAACTGCACATCTCTGAGTTACCTCTTGCTTCGCTCATTTTGTGTGGGTTTTGTTAAACATTTTTATAAGACTTTCCTTTTTTTCTTTTTTTTTTTTTGGTTCCTACTGGGGCCAGGAGGGATGTGGCTTGTCGATTAGTTATCTCTCTTTAATAGGGCTTTTCTTATCCCATTTAAGTAGAATAAAGAAGCTTCATTTGTTAGCTTAAAAAAAAAAAAAAAATCAAGACTTTAATTCTTGATCATTGCTCCCAAGAGAACCCAGTTGGAGTTCTCTCATCATCACTGATCAAGTCTGAACTTTTTTTGTTTGCTATTCAATTTCATTTGCTTTCATCATTTCAGAGCACTAACAGGCTTTCAGCCCTGCTGAAACAGAGGACGAGACTTTAACCATATTGCGGTAAAGTCCCTGTAGCAATGGAAAACTGCTATATAGCATTCAATCATGTGCTGTCCCTTTCATAAAATCTGCATTTACACTGAATTAATGTGCTGACTATTGTAATAATAATAATAATAAATATTCCATGTGTCTCTTTCTCCTTTTATATTATTTGCCTGTTTTAGAGAGACTGTCAGTTAATTTCTCTGATCTCAGGCCAGAGAGAAATTTTATCTCAGACCAGTATAAAAATCCTTCTGATTACTAAACTGCTGTAGATCACCATCTGGATCTACTGCGAAAATGAAAACCAGGGAAAGAAGCTTGCTTATGCTACAGATAAACTTGCTCTGATGTTTTATAAGTGTGTTGTTTTTTGTTTTTTCTTAAGGGATCCCAAGGATGAGTTTACAAAGGAGATTAGCATAGAAAATCTGGAAAGCAGTTTTCCAGTTAAGATACATCCATCCAGGCCCGTTCTCTGATTGCTTGTGCCTGTCATATCCTAAGACACAGGATGCCAGAGTGGGATTTTTATGAGTAAAATCTTTCCTGGATTTGCTCTGTGACTGCTCCTTGAGAATGACTGTTACCCAAACTCTTAGTCCTTGCACAGGGAGAAAACTGTTGTGATAAACCAATCAAATAAAAGCCACTGCTGGACCATTCCCAGTAAGAGTAATGCAAAGCCTATCTCCCAGCTACCATTTTTGTTCTTCAGGGTATGGGGAAAAAAAACAGTTTTCAGAGAGGGTCTGGGTAAGGCAGTGAGACCCTGAAGTAGTCTATCTGCTCAGCTTCTGCTGCTTTCCAGCTTAGTTTCTGTGCTCATGGTACTCATCTGTACTTCTCCTTT